CCCCCCCCCCCCCCCCCCAGCTTATACAGTTCTGGTTTGTAACACCTCCAGCTCACTTCCCATAACCATTCCCCCCTCCCCCCGTTACTTATGACAGCCGAAAGATGCAAAGCAAAGGGAGAAAATCTTGAAGGCTGACATTGAGGCTACCTGGAGGATTATCTGTGTTGGAGTCACCTGAGTAGTGCAAATGGGTGTGGTGCCTTCTTGGAACTGTTGAAAGGACTGTGTTGTAGACTGGAGATAGATGATGTCGTATCACCCATCCCTGTTGAAAGACGGCTGCTCAATTTTGATATAGATGGCAGATGGACTGCTGAATCTTGTCCTGATAGGTTTGTTCTCCTGTGTTGTGCCATGAATTTATGAAGTGGTTGTTTTATTTTCCCCATGTTTCACCAATGTACAGTTCTGCACATGTCTCACTGCATTGTACTGCATAGACCACGTTGCTCAGCTTGTGTCTTATCCTTGGAGTGGACAAGCTTCTGCCTTAGATGTGAAGATGGAAAAGAAAAAGAACTAAAACACATCAAGGAAGCCCTCAGAATGTGTGACTATCCCAAATGGGCCTTCATCAAATATCAAAAAAGACCCAGAAGGAGCTCCTCCATAACAAAGAGAGAACAATAAACGAAGAAGAGAACAATAAACGAACCAACATTGTCATTCCATATGTTGCAGGAATACTGGAAAAGCCAGGAGGATCTTCAGCCAACACAACATACGTGGACACTTCAAACCCAAGAATATATATGTGGTACAATGCAATAAGCCATGTGCAGATCTGTATATTGGGGACATAAAATGACCACTTTATAAACACGTGGAACAACATAGGAGAACAAAACCATCAGGACTAGATTCAGCAGTCCATCTACATTTAAAAGAGAAAGGCCACTCTTTCAAAGACAGCGAAGTCCACATTTTGGGCAGAAAGGACCGCTAGTTTGAAAGATGTTCAAAGAGGCTATCTGTGTCAAAATTGAACAGCCCTCTCTCAACAGAGGGAGAGGGCTATGACATAATCTATCTCCAGTCTACAACACAGTCCTTTCAACAGTTCCACACCTGTTTGCACTACTCAGGTGACCCTGACACAGATGAACCTCCAGGTGGCCTCAATGACTCTAAAAGAATGCAAATGACCGGCTGTTTGCAAGGAGGATAAATCCTTCCATTCCATACCATCCAATCAGAGCTGAAGAAATTTCTTGGTTGAGAAGCGAAATTTCTTCAAAGAAAAACAATAAGGTCCAATTGCCTCTTGAAAAAGCACCTTTGGGACATCTTCAATTAGAATGAGATTTTGGCAGACTATGACAAAAAACTTTTGCCAGTGCTGGAAAGATTGAAATGGCTTTTGTTACTTAACAAATGGGGAAGAGCTATACAGCCATTCCTGGGGAAATCCACTCTATCCCCTTTCTACCAAAAGCCAGTCTCTATTGCAAGCCCAGCCCACTCTTCCTTGGGGCTGTTTGGTTCACCTTTGCAAATATTTATACAATAGGAAACTTCCCATTTGGGAAAGTTTAATCAATACATTACAGTACAATATTTTACTTGTTGCCATAGATAATGTAACTAAGCTATTTGACTATATAGACTGAAGTTTATTGCTTTGGGCTAGAAAAGAATAATAATTTATATACAAAATTAAAATTGCACCTTGGTAAATAGAAATTTTCACAGGATCTGGCAATATTGATCAGAACAAGTGTTGATACTGGAAGCATGCTGCTCTAATAGGAAGCTGCTTTCTACACATGGGAAAAAAAAGAACAGTCAACAAGTATGAGAAATCAGGACATCCTAATGAGTCCATTTTGGCAGTATGGCTTGGCCTCAAAAGGCTGCCTGTCTTTTGATTGCTGATTTCTTTTGGATGTGATGCTATGCTCTTCCTGACACCAAGTCACATTGAGGGGACTCTAGAATTACTGGATATCTGAATTTACCTGCCAAAATTGTGTCTCCTTTTTATGCTGCTGCATTGATGTGGTTGTTGTTTATGGCATTATTCATGTAATAGGTCTTCTATTGCTTTTTGGATTCTTTCCTGTGCAGACATGCCTATGGAATTCTAAATATCCAGAGGAGGTTTCTAAAATGGGATGCCTAAAACATGGATCTAATCTAACAGATCCCAAAACATGGCAATTGTTTTTGGTGCTAGTACAGGGAAAGCACATATAGCTTTATTAGAACTGGGATACAACATTAGCCATTCACTGACTGGATGATTTCAGCATATGGAATATATGAAGTACTTTCTGTCTTGCATGTAAGCATCACTTAATATCTTAATATTTATTAATTTAATAATAATAATCAGACATAATTATCATTTGAGAATCCATATCTAAAAGGGATGAATGTTTTTCTTTTGACACCTTATTGAGAATTAAGCAAGGAGGTATTACCTCTTCATATCTAGAAACCATTAACTAAAATTCAGTAATTGTATTTGGAAATTAGAATTAAAAATCTCATACACACTTAGATGGATTTGCTTGTGATTAAAACTTGATAGTAGCATAGGGTTGGCTCCTACCTCTTGTTAAACTGAAGCTTCCAAAATTATTGTGTTGTGCATATATGAATAATAATACATATAACCAGGTATCCAGTATTATTTGTGTTTATAGCAACTTCATTTATATAGAAATTAAAATAGACAAAGTTCCTTCCAGTCAATACGTTCTCAGACTAGAATGTTCCTGGAAAGGTTTGCAAAGCCACTGCACAAAGATGTTATGATCAAGTGAAAAAGAAACAAAAGATGCTGCCTTGTGGCAATCCAAACCTTGCAGCTCTGAAATGCCTTCCTAACTACCAAGGATTTCAAATGTAACATTTTTTCAGTGCTCTTTGGCAAAACTGGAAATGTTTCTCCCCACAAAGACTGTTTTCTCTGGTATCTGTTTTGTCCTTTCCATGCACGATAGGACAACATGAGAGGAGGGTGATATTTTAAGAGGAGGGTGATATTTTACAACTTCCTTTGTACAAGATCCAGTTGCCAATCACTAAGCCTCTGGTTTAAAGGATCTTGGATAGGAAGACTAGAGTAGATGCAGAACAGTGCACATAGTGGCAAGCCAGATGGACCAATCTAATTTTGGCAGTTTTCTCTAGCAAAATATGCTACGTGCTTCCATTTTCATGACAGAAATATAAACTATTTAATGACCATGGATTACAGCAATAGAAGCATCATGTTGAATAATGTGCTGGTTGGGGGGGGGTGCATATAGTATTCAGTTGGCAACCTGAAGAGATGTTTGCCAGTTACAAATACAGTGGAAATGTACTTTAGATTGATAAATAATGGGAAATACTTGGATAAATTTAAATGATTTGTCACCATTGGATTGTCAAATCAGGTTCCATTTTTGTGTATGTCTTTTGAAATAAATGGAAGAACTTTAATTTAAAAATGGCCGTTGTATTTTACTTCATAAATTCACTGTTGTAGAAATTCTATACACTTTGCTGTT